GCTGAGGTTCTTCCATGAAGCAGCTCTGTTGTCCTCTATTGCTCTTTTTTTTCTCTCCCTCCTCACTCTGCATGCTGTTACCAGAGCAGGGAGCAGCAGCGGTCAAAATACCTCAGAAACTCAAACAAATAGGCTTTAACAAGACTTTAATAAGCTAAACAATGAGGTACATGAGAAAATGTGTTCGTAACAAATGAAAATACATGTTAAATTGTGTCCGTGCTGGTCTTAAACCCTGGTCTCCCACTCTCTGGTCCAACACTCTACCCACTGCCCTATTGGAGACTTGTTGTGAAATGGGCTACACATTGCACAACAACAACCGTGACGGCTTTTTATACTGAGGAGGTGGAGTCTCACCCGGGGGTTTCTAGGTAAGGGGCTGAACGCAGGTTCCAGTGGGTTTTCGTACGGTTTGTGACATCACAAAATGACTTAAGTATAAAACTTGTCGTTAATACACATTAAAAATACATTTACTTACAGTAAATATGCCTCTGGGTGCATTTTTTTGGTCCTAGGACTGTTTTATTAAGAAGTACATACCCAAAGTTGAGTAAAAAAACCTTTAAAAAGTGAATTTTGCATAATAGTTCCCCTTTAAGTATTTTTGAAAGCACATACTCCTGTACTTTAAAGGAATTGTAATATCCAGTGCCATCTAGAGGTTCCTTATTGCAATCAACTAAAAGATCATTTCACACCCCATCCCCCATTCCAAACACCATGGAGTCTCTACGGTGGCCATCAGGTGTCATAAATCTTTGATACACCAAATGTGATGTCTAATAGCAGCTTTAAAATTTTTGATGGAAGTGGTTAGATTAATTTTATTAGAAAGTTAGGAAATTACCACAGCCACAATGACAGATGAAACATGTATTTTTTTGCACTTCAGTAGTGCTATTGTAAATGTTAGCTTTTTAGTCCTTTCTGAGCTACTGTAGAAGCATGGTGGTGCAAAATGGCAGCCTCAACCGGCGCCCATGTACCAGTAGATACAAACAGTTTATTCTAAGGTCAACAGAATCCAACAACTTCTTAGTTTTTAATTAATAGATATGATTTGATATATTTTTATTAGTGATAATCTAAAATTCTGCTAAAAGATGTGCCAAAATGTTACACATTGTTACTTTAACTGTAGTATTTGACAAAGCTACTTTTGCTTTTATTGGAGTAATATTTGACCAGTAGAATCAGTGCTTTGACTCAAGTAAGGAAACTGAGTACTTTGACCACCACTGCTGCTGTATTATCTGCAGAGTGTTGTTGGTCATACAGTCATAAAAGAGTAAGGGCTCTCAGAACGCAGCCCTGTGGAGCGCCCATGTTGATAGAGATGGAAGATAAGTGCTGAMCCTCATGCTTTGTTGCATCACCCATGTACAAACGCTGTAGTTACTGCAAATGTTCAGCAGCTTGGTTATCAGCTTTAAGAGGTACCAACAAGTTGAAAGCAGAGCTTTAATCGATATAAAAGTATTCTGGCAGGTGTTTCCAGGTGAGTAAATGTTGGTAAGTAATGTGACAAATTCCTGTGTTTAGCTCCTTTTCGTAAAAAGTCTGAGCTTTTTTTAGCCGCTTAAATGTTTATTTCATTCTGTCATGTGGTGAAACAGATTCTTTTCATGAGATTCAGAGGTTGCAGTCTGTGCACACTCACTTCAGGCATATATTGTTTCCATTTCCTTAGAAGGGTACTCGGTGAATAATCGTTGCACACGCATGCACATCTTTGTGCTTCATCACCTTATTCGGCTCAGTGTTCAGCTGCTTTCACTTGATAACAGCAGCTCTCTCTCTCTCTCTCTCTCTCTCTCTCTCTCTCTCTCTCTCTCTCTCTCTCTCTCGCTCTCTCTCTCTCGCTCTCTCTCTCTCCCCCGACACCCCACCTCCTCTCCTCCTCCATCCTAGCAGTGATGAGACATACGTGATTGGCTTTGTGGTGCCCAATCAGAAGCAGCTCCTGGCTCTGGCTGGCCAGTATGGGATCCGAGGGTCCTGGGAGGAGCTGTGCAACAGCAAAGCCATGGAGGAGCTGGTCCTTAAGGTCATCACTGAGGCTGCGCTGACAGGTGAGAGCAGGTCAAAGAGCTGCAGGCTATAGTCCATGTGGCCATCATCAAACAACACAATATGTTTCCTCATTTCACCACAGCCCAGCTGGAGCGTTTTGAGATGCCTCGAAAGATCCGCCTGAGCCCTGACCCCTGGACTCCTGAGACAGGACTCGTGACCGACGCCTTCAAGCTCAAACGCAAAGAGCTGAAAACACATTACAAAGACGATATCGAGAGAATGTACGGAGGAAAATAACACTAAACTCTGAAACGCTCTTACCCCCTCATCACCTTTCAAGTAGTTTTTGGAATAAAAATCACAATGTTTTTACTCCTGTCTGTTCGCTTTTTAACCCAGTGTTGTGGAAGTCTTTATTGTTCCAAATGGGAGTTGTGAAGCAGGTTGTTACTGTCATCTGTTGAGCTCTTACCTGACAGCCAAAGCAGAAATCCAGGTTAATTTGTTGCCTTTTTGTTCTGAAAGCTGACCAACAAGACCCCAGGTTCAGGTTCTGTACTTCTCCCAATCAGTTCAGATACTGTTAACTTCACTCCAGCCAGAGGAAGCTGTCCGTAGTGCTGCTTCTGCTGCTCCTGCAGGTCCAGGAGACAGTTAACTTTCTTTTTGTTTCTGAACTGTTTTGATTTCTGTCAGTTTATTTTGTCTCCCACCCTCCGTCAGACTGTGACATGTTGGACAGCAAAGAACATCCTGATACCAAAAAGCACAAAGTCACTCGAGGGCAAATGAGAGCTCCAATATGCTAAAAACTTTCAGATCTTTTATGGTCTAATGGATTTTATCTTTCGCCGAGGCTGTAACTATTTAAGAGAAAAGAAACACTCTTAGCAGTTGTTTAGTCTGTTGAGACTCTTTTTAGTGAACAGAACAAAATGTGAACAAAGATGCTTGTGTACCAGATAAAATTAGTGTAATCGTTGATGTATTTGACAAATGACAAACACAATGTGAAAAGGCAGATCTGCCCAACTAAGGCATCTGATTGCAGACAGAATGAAATGTGCGATGTGAGCTGGTTGAAGTGTAAGCACTCTTGCGTAAGCGAGGCTAACATTTGTTCTGTTTTAAGCTTCGCCACATTTTTGTCTGTTTGACAGTGTGAGACTCAGCGTGTCGCGACGGAGCACAAACACAACCCCCGTGTCCCTCTCTGCGGGACATCTGTTGCCTTTCCTGTGATTCTGAAGCATCTCTTTGTAATTTCTGCCTGATTTCTGTTTTCCATAATAATTATAAGATGAATGGTAATGACTGATGTGGAGGAGCAGAGAGAGCAAATGTACAACCTCTTTATTAAATCCACTTCCTCTCTCTGCAGCAGGTGATTTTTACATAAACACATCCAGCGATTTATTTAAAATTTGATTTGGAAAAAAAATTTGTATGGCATGAATAAAAAATGTGTTTGTGAGACTGCTTTTATTCTCTGCTTTGGTGAATAAAACTAAATAAAAAGGTGTATTTYGTCTACAAACTGATTGTGTTCCAGCTGTGTGTTAACTAGTTATGCCAAGGAGAAAAACCATCAGTAATGCCCACAGAGAAGCCACTTTGAGAAGGTTCTGAAGTTTGTTTCCAAACAATTTGAAGTTCATCACTCTCAATGAACATCTGAAGACATTCACCCTGAGGTCAGACCGTACAGTCGGAGAAATTTTGAAAAATTCAAAAACTCCAGCTCAAACTACAGCAGGGCTATTCCACAGTCCAGCCTGCCAATGGCTTCATGGAAAGCAATAAAAA